TTTTTTTTCAATCCCATTCATTCATGTCATTGTTTTGATTTAAATTTGACGAGTTATATTTGCACTTGATGGATGTGCTTATTATAAGGATGATTGAACAGTGCTAATCAACAGTGCAAGATAACGAGTATCGCAATTACATGTGCACAAACGCACACATGCGAGGTGCGTGCAGGCTGCTTCTGATATCGCACGGCTGAACACCGTCGAAAGGATTCAGTCCTTGAAGTTTGATCATAAATTTGCTCTTCGTTAGCAGCTCCTTTTCGCTGCATTCGATCGTGACATTGAGCCCGTTTCATTTGGACCATGTTTTAGTGGATGAGAAATACAAATTCTATTGAACAGAATCGTCGGCTGCAATTTTGTGGAATGCAGGTGTGTGTAACAAATGGATATAAGAAGTGATCAGCAGTATCGACAAATGAAAGAGTTGTTGTTCTGCTGATTAGCGTTTACTGATTCGAGTGGATTATGGCTAATCACTTTATCAACGAAACAGTTGTTATGAGAAACTTTGACACCGTTGGAGCAAGCAGTTGATTTCTAAGTTTGTTCATGAATGCTGTTTTGCATATGCATTTGTGTGTGTGATGCGTTCAAATTGATATGAACGAGGAACGCATCGAGTTGTATCGAATGGAATATGTGAAATTGAGGATCTTAAAGAAATGAGATGGATGTGATGCTGTTTGAATGGTATACGAGTTTTGTTCGGTTATTTAAGCGTCCCTCGGGAACTTGAATAACAAAACAAAACTTTTATTATGGCTGATAGCAAAGGACATTGCTTTATTTTTACGTTCCTTCCTCTTAGTGTGTCAGTGCCATAGCACGCAGCAGTGATGATTTCCCTATCGTTAGTCAGACATTGTCATGATTCAAATACTTTTCCCCGTCGACCTACTTGAGACCTCTTCTTTCGAATCTGCCACGTTGAAGAGATCCTCGATGATTGCTAGTGTTCCTCGTTTTTGGATCAGTCTGGTTTTCAGGAATCAACATAACAGTTTTGCACAATTTGCAGCGTTGCAATTAGGCACATCCATATTGATCATGTGATAAGGCATAATCAGACGCGTTCAAATGCCGATTGAAGTCTATTATTCTGATTTCATCAAA